TGTTGTTATAATAAAACATAACAGAATTGTGTGGATTTTCTTTAATTGCGGGGGGGGGGGCTCGAAGGGGGTCTCGCCCAGGGTGTCATTCAAGATATTGTGACGCATTGTGCTAGCTATATGGGGATAAAAATAAACTTCCTCTTTAGATCAATAGAGTACCATGAAAAAAACAACAACATGCCGTGAGCTGGGGAACAGCTGTCTAAGAGTCTGTTTCCAATACAAGTGTTTTGATCAACAGATGCATTCCTCAAATGCCTGAAATGAGAATTGATTACCAGTAATCCTGAGTTTGTGTTGTGAGTGAGTCATAAGTCAAAGGCAACATCTAGAAAACAAGAATCTGTTTAAGTGTGTATTTCTGGTGTTGTTTTGGGCTGTATCAGGTTATATCCGGTGGGAACCACAGTGCAGCGATATCCCATCAAAGACATTGTTCTTCAGAATTACCACGTACCTGCTGGGGTGAGTATATCTGCACACAAACACATTCAGTGCTACAGCTGACTTCAGTGCGTTTGACGGACAACCATTCTCCCCCTCAGACGATGGTCCAGGCCTGTCTTTACCCTCTGGGAAGGAGTGCAGAGGTGTTTGAGGATCCACTGCGCTTTCACCCCGGCAGGTGGGGCAGCAGCAGAGAGGAAGGCCAAAGAGGAGGGTTTCTCTCCCTGGCGTTTGGGTTCGGGGCGAGGCAGTGTGTCGGGAGGAGGATTGCTGAGAACGAAATGCAACTCTTGCTCATGCATGTGAGTGACAGCAGACAAGAGAAGGGAGATGAGGATGGAGGTCAGAGAGAAAAGATGAGATGCAAGAGGACATTTTAGTTTAGTTTTTTGTGTAATATTGGATAATTGTACCACTTTGAGCCTTAAACAGTTATTTAAATTAAACAATGTGAGAGGTTTAGAGAGAGAATAGCCACAACTAGGCCCTGCTTTATTATAAGAGGTCACGTGGCAGAAACATTGGGGACAATTGCTTTCATCTTTAACAATGCGTTTTATTTTATAAGCATATGTTTTTTAATGTAACTAGAATCTAAAGCTTTAAAATAAATGTAGAGTAGTAACAAGTACAATTTTTCAGTGTGAATTACAGTGGGTAAAAGTATCCTAGAAGTACCACAGATTGTACTAAATGTACTCACTTCCCACCACTGCTGCTGAGTACTACATTTTACTTACACTTACTGTGATCCTTCTTACTGTCTACTCTGCTCTCTTCCACTCTTTATTCACGCCACCATCGCCTCCTCCCTCCCCCTGCCTCTCTTCATCCCCCCTTCTCTCTCCTCCCTTTCTGTCTAGATCCTGCTGAGCTTCCATCTCAGCGTGTTGTCCTCTGAGGACATCAAAACCACATGCACCCTCATCCTGCAGCCTGAGACTCCGCCAAGGATCACTTTCAGCAAGCTCTGACAGACACAGAGAAGAGAGTCGTGCGATCAACATTTGACATGTTTAATCACACAATTCAGTGTTCATCTTTCAACCATAACCACCAGATTTCTCATGATACTCACTGAAGTTTATACTGAGCACCTTTATACAGCCCAAGAACTCATAATTCTGATCAATAAAGTATAATTTTCCTCCTCCTGTTGTCCTCATTTGTGGCAAAAATGTGCAAAAGCAACATTAACACTACTGTCCGCCAGATGGCGCTAAAACGTACACCAACCCATTCATTTACATGTGTCGTTGCTTGTTGTGCCTCCTCACCATTCAGTCTGGGCCTGCTTCATACATCCAACAGGTTGGTCACTTCCTTTTCCAAACATCTAAACTTTATAACCTCACTTACATTCTGTGACTATGTGCAAGGATTCTCTGCGTCGCACACCTCTTTCTCTCTACACCCTGCTGTTCATGTAACATTGTTGTTTTATTTTGTTGTCTTCAGCTGAAAATCTTCCCTGCTGTTTGTTTCTGTCGCTCCGCCAGATATTGATGACTCTATTTGTTCTTTTTCTCAATTGTTTAGCGACGAGCTCCATAAAATACTTCATTTTCTCCTGAAACAGGCAACTGACTCTCAGGTTAAGATGAAGTTCTTGATTTTAGAGGCTAAAATGTGAAAGTTTCAAAACTGCTTCATTCCCCTTAATTCTATTATTTTCAAGAGTTATTAATTTAAGTTGAGTCTAATATTATTGCACTTTGATCGTAAAACCGACCTTTGCCCCAGTCTGGTAATTATATGCAGTGCTATTATATGATAGGCTACTAGGTGTGTGCTACACAGATCAGAGGGTTGCAGGCTAAATCTTCTCTAGTCAGCTCAGGAGCAAAGGTCTGTTTGTCCTTTGGCTAACGATTTACACCCTCTGTCAGCCTGGGTTCATGCGTGACTGCATAGATACAGCTCTGCACAATGCAACTCAATGCACCCTGCTTAGAGACCCACTTTAAGTAAACTGTGTCACTGAGTGGAAGACACATCATCTCTATGTGTCACCTGTTCTGTCAAAGTCTCACACTTACATAACGTCAACCAGCTATCACTGAGACATGGCCTGGTTTGTGGGTTTTACAATAAAATGCTGCAGTGGGTGAAAGCAAAAATGATGTACTGATAGAGACTTTTCAAGGTTCAGAAACTCTCCGACATCAAGATCTTCAATCTAAATCTGCAGTAGACTAATTCAACTTCTTTAGTATATAATGTTTAGTAAATCCGGGAGAGGTTCCACTTTCTAATAAGTCATCCTTTGTTGTATCTCTAACCAATGGCTTATGATTAATAGTTGATCAATAATTTACTATACTTTATAAATCAGATAATAAAAACTACTTTTGCGTTGCCAGTTTGCAGTTTGTGTTTATCTCCTAAATTATGACACTTTCTTTTGTCTTTTTATTTCATGTGTGAATTCGTCCAATGGACTGTTTGACCTTTGACCTTGTGGAGGCCATCTGGACCAGAATAATCTATTAATAACTCTTTTCACTCCTATTTCTGATTTATTCACATTTATATTTATTGGTGATTTACTTGCTTTTACTTTTGGTGTCTTAGAAAGTAAGAAACTCTAAAACTTTAGAATCTGGCAACCAAAACGTTGTTCTTCATAAGGCTTTTTTTTAACTGATTTGGAAACATTAATCAGTAATGAAAGAAGGGTTGAACATGACAAATAAAAAAAAGGACAATAGGGTTAAGAAAAATATCTTTTGGGGGGAACCCCTGAAAATGGTTGATTGTTTCTCTGTCGATCGACTAATTTAGTTTAGAATCATCTGCACAGATTTTCTGTGTCTGGTTTGGGGTAAAAGGTGTGTCAAACTCAGGGTTAGGAGTTACATAATGTGCATCGATGCAACATAGACAAGTATCAATTTGTACTGTAGTGCACCCTGATAGTTTAGTGTCATCACTGGGCTATTGACATCACGTTTTTTTCATTTTTGGCATCCTCTTGGCCCAGTCAGGCTGAGCCACCTACGCTAATTCATCCAAAATCATCCGTCTGTTGCAACCATTGGCCTCGCTCCAAATGGTGTGAGTGGGAGGAGAGACGAGGGGGTAGCGGAGGGGTCAGAGGGTAAAAATGAAGGAAAGAGACTGAACTAGGCTGTTCACTAGACCTAGAGAATGACAAGTGCACAACCTCTGCACAGACAAGAATAAAGGCAGAGGAGGAAATTTTGAAAAATTACCGACCAATCCAGTCCAATCTACTAAAATAAACAAATAACAGAGGAGGCACAGTGCAGTAAATTTGGATCTTATTAAAGAAATTGATGGTTTTGTCAAAATGGGTGATAAGTGGACCACTGATTTTCTTTTGTGTTGTGGGTGTGTCAGCATGATTAAAAATCCAGAGATGACTATTTAGTGGTTGATTTACCTTGATTAATTGTTAAATTACAAGGACAAAACAGATTAGTATGCAGTGAATTAGGATTATAATGGGTATAATCTTTTAACAATATCTGTAATTATATTACTCGGTTGCCAATTTTTAACTCGTTGCTCAGATTATACACCACTGCGTCGTTTTTAAGATGCTTTTGAACTTTAAGTGCAGAGTCGTAGTTGGAAAAACATCTGATTGCAGACACACACACTGACCTGCTATGTGCATGAATGTGACCCTCTGCAAACAGGTAATTCTTGGTACAATTTGGCCTCACCCATCACCTGGTTCACCTTTCTTATCTTAAAGCTGTGCACTGACTGATATTTTGCAACTCTCTTTGGCCTAATGCCTGCTTTATTTATAGTCAGCCTTCTAGTAACAGGTACCTGTGTGTGTGTGTG